GGACTGGGTAGTGAAATGGGAAGTGGAGAGGCAATAGATGGGAATGGCAGCTAAGGGCTGAGTAGTGAAATGAAGGAGGTCAGCCATTGAAGGATAAAATAAAAAGATGTAAAAAAAAAAATGTAAAAAGAAATAAAGAGTAAGTAAATTAAAGGAATATGTTGTAGTAAATTGGGATTGGGATTGGGTAGTCCCAGCTCATAGAGACACTACCTTGGTCCCGGGTGGAAGTACCAGCTCATGGAGACCCCAGTCTGGCCCCCTACCTAGCTCCCCCCTCTTCCCCCTTAGTTCTCCCTCCTGGACCACTCTGTGCTCCTGCAAACTGCCTGGCAAGTCACATCCCTAGAGACAGAAGGGGAACTTGGCTTGGTGCCAGTAGCACCCCCTGGGCAGTAGAGTTCAGAGGTTTGAAAGTTTGTCCATACAGAACAGGAGGGTGGGGGGAGGGGACACGGCATCCTGAGATGCTGGAGGACTAAAAATATAGGTGGCTTATCTCTGGGAAGTGGCCACATATTCAGGGAAGATGAGCTGGGTCACACAGATCAGAAATGAATCTGCCCTGGAGTAGCATAACTTAAAGACTCCTGAAGGGTGCTTAAAACTAGTTTACACATGTTACTGTATAGACAATCCAGGGGTTAAGAGGTCCCTGAGCTGCCTAAAATTAATATAGAACAAGGCCCTTAATAATTACCAGTTGTCTATATTTGTGAAACACTACCCTGGAGTTCCTCTGTATCAACAGCTTCTTGCTGTGGCATAACTCAAAGGAGAAGATGTTACCTTGTTTTATAACTGAACCAAATTTTAAAAAATGAATGAAAACATGAGCACTGAGAAAACCCCAAATGCTTGCCTGGGTCAAAAAATTACTTCAGTTTACAGATGCAGGGCATCAGCCATTGAAAACCCATTAGGTATATTTGTCTGGAATATTTCAAGCAAATTGTCATGTTCTTGGGCCCATTCCACTCTCTGCTCCTCTTTAAATCTCAGACTCCTTGCCTGGTGAGTGTGGGTTTTTCCTCTTCATCTGCAGCAAATGTCAGAGTGTTGGGAAACATGGGCTTAGCCCAAGAGTCTTTGTGCAGACTTTCTCTGCCCCACAGACAGTACACAGAGAGCTTAGCTCCCTGATACAGTGGGATGGGTGATGAAAAGGAGAGCTATGTGCATTTATTTTGTCATGGCCACAATAAAGAACAGGCAAACATCAAGGACATGCAACAAAATATTAAGAATGCTAATTTCTTCTACCCCCCCCCCAAAAAAAATTCCTAATTGCCAATATTTTAAATACTTACACTGTCTGCAAAACTCCAGGCCACTTCCTTTTCACTTTTGAGAGAGAAACATTATTTTAAAAATTGTATGAAACCATGGGCCCATGACATGATGTTACTTCTTTAAATCAGTGGTCTCCAAACTTTTTTGATCATGCACCCCTATCGGTAAAAAAATTTTGAGCACGCACCCCCAATATATGTATATTTATATAAATATAAATGTAAATAGAAGTTCTAACATTTTCTTCCCACACCCCAATGGATCATCTTGCGCACCCCCTGGGGTGCACGCACCCCACTTTGGAGACCACTGCTTTAAATCAAGGTTGAGCATCTTTCTAAAACTGCTCAGTCACAGCCCATTGGGCGGGATGGCAGAAACTCAAGGTGAAATTGTAGTCTGAGCTGTACCAAGGGTTAGACTAAAGGATCATGAATATCCCTTCTGTCCCTAAAAATCTCTGCTATCTGGGAGGTGTATAGCAGGTACATCACTGAAATAAATATGTTAGGATCTGAACAGTGGCACGCCCCCCAACCAGTTGCTTTAGTATACCTACATGGGTAAAATTTGTCTTTGTTTAGACAGTTTACGTCTCTGGCTACAAAATATAGCCTTGTCAGTTTGGATTTGCTCAATGTGAAGAGCAAATCCTAAAACTTTTTGTTATGAAACATGCCATATTGGAGTGTTAGAGTAATCACTTGAAATATCCATTCACCCAAGCAGGATACTTTCCCATGCAAGTGCCTGAATACCTGCAGGATCTAAACTTTCACTTTAAAAGAAAAATAAAATGGTTTGTAGCCCTAAGACTTGCCAAGATCATTCTGAGAATGTGAATTGAGCATAACTGATTCAGAACTGCTTTCCTAACCCATGCCTCTAGTGCCTCTGCTGCAACTCAGAGCTTTTCCAAGCTGCAGCCGAGTGAACAATTGATAAAATCTTGGCAATTCTGGCTGCTGCTGTTGAGATGCCTGTGGACAGCTGGGAAATCGACTGAAATTATTTTTGCTTCTCTCTGCAAGTGTTTGTGAAAGCTCTAAGTAGCTTTATACAGAAATATGTATTATATACATAAAGTAGCACTAGCGACTTTAACTGTATATTAGCAGTGTATGGGAGATGGAGGAAACAATGGAGGAGGAAGGCTGGACAAAGAATTTTTGATGTATGAATTTTGCATCTTAAAAGGCAGTTTCATTCAAATTCAAACATTTCTGGGGTATCAGTTGGTTTTCAAAATTTTATTACCAAATCAAGAAGATTTGTTTAGACCTTTTCATTCTGTTCCCATTATGCTGGAATGTTTGATAATGTCAAAACATTTCAACTTTATCATCTTGATTCATTTTAATATTGCATGAAGGGGAAGCACAGTATATTTAATATTTTAGACCATATATGTTCATCATTTGGTCTTGTCCCTTTGCTCAGGGTCAAAACAATGAACGTATCTGGAGTCAGGAAGGAATTTTACCCCACAAACAGATTGGTGCAGACTATGGGGTTTTTTGCCTTCCTCTGTAGTTCTGGGGCATGGCCCTCTTCCTTGGATCTCTCAAGGGTATTTTAACAACCTTTGCAGCAGCAGGACTTTGGCCTCCCTGGTTCCCCTGCTTTACTTGTGGCAGATTAGGGTATTATGTTTTGTGGTTGTGTCGGGGTTGACTGTGTAGTTTTGGTAATATATTAGAAAATGGATTTGTATAACATAGTTTGGATAGAGATGATCCTGTCTCAGGTGGGGGGGCTGGACTAGATGATCTCTGGAGATCCCTTCTGTTGGCTTAGGAACAGTATTTAAAGGCCTGTTTTTTTGGAATTGGCTTATAGGTATAGATATATGCATTATAAGGGCTCAAAATGGGCAGCAGGGGTTAACTGATTAGTAAGAGCGTGGGCTTCACACACAGAGTTCCATATGGCCCTGAAAGCAGACAGGCTGTCTAGCTCAGCAGGGCCAATGGATGGACACAGCCTGAGAACTGAGGGGGGCATGCCATAACACCAGATCACAGCCTTCAAGGCAGACAGGCTGTCTAACACAACAAGGACACATAGCCTGGGAACCAAAGAAGTATGTACCACACTGTCCCATAACACAAGATATGTGACACCAGCAACAAGGCCCCAGAGCAGCAGGGGGGCTGAATCCCCGTTTTGGGGGAACAGACTAAATTAGGAGAAGGCCCAGAAGGGTACGTGGACATGTGATTGCAGAGAGACAACCAACCCAAGATCTCCATGGATGAAGGGTCATCAGGAGTCATCAAGGGGGAAGGAGAATACAAAAGCAGAGACTTGAGAATAACAAAGGGTCCCTCCCTTTGTCCCGTCCTTCCCTGTCCCTCCTTCTCTTCCTTAAGAGGGGTTCCCACCCCCATCCCTGTCCCCTGGGAAGGGTCTCTGAGGCCACCATAGACCAAGGGTATACCAGCAGCCTGTCTCATGCATCCCACTGGAGGGGGGCTGTGGGCCTTGGCATCCCACCTCTAAACTGCTAAGACCTAAGAGAGAGCCTCAGAGTGGAGCCTGCATCCTGACCAGATGTACCTTGACTCTGATGACAGCCCTAGAATTGGGAGATATAGGATTGTTTGTATTGTTGCTTTTTTGTTATGGCTCTGTATCAATAAATTCACCTATTATCAACTGGCAGGTGTTGTGGTCAGTCTGAGGGTTGTGCCCTCCCAAAACAAAGGAATAAGGGCTGGGTTCCTAAAATCCAGTGTCAACACCTTCCATCCCTACTTCTCTATGACACTATTATTGAAACCAAATGTTAGATAACCCTAAACCATTTTATGGGGATGGGATTTTCAATCTATGGGAAATTTTGTAATTTGGGGTTTTCTTTCTGATTCAGCATGAAAAAATTCAAGATGTCAGAGTTTTCTGCAGAAGAGAAATTACCTTGCTTGACAAACTGAAGTTTAAAAAAAAGAATAATAGTTCCAAGCATCAATAAAGGCATAGATTTTGGTGCCAGAAGATATCATTATCGTTATTGAATCTAACTTGCTGCAAAGAGAAGCCACAGAATTTCATTCAGTATTTCACACAACAAGCACACAACTTCTACCTGAGTTATTGCATGTATTTTAGAAAAATACCCAATTTCGATTAAAAAGTCAAATGATGCCTAATCTAACTAGATAAGTTGTTCCAATAGTTTAAATCCCTTCTCTGCTAAAAATGTGCAATTATTTCTATTCAGGATTTGTCTAGACTTCGTGTCTACCCACTGGATCATTTGCCCATTACATTAATAAGCCTTCTTCTCTTAAAAAATTGTGTTCACAGCAGTCATAGTTCCCCATAAGTGTGCATTCACTAGTGGAGACCAAGCTGGGGATCTACTGAAAATCAGGCCTGATATAGAATCATAGAAAAGTGGGGCTGGAAGGGATGACAGGACATCACCTAGTCCAACCTCTGCTCAAGGCAGAACATCTCTACCTAAACAAGTGTTTGTCTAACTTATTCTTCAGAACTCCAGGAATAACCCTCAAGCATAACTACCAGGCATAACATAACACCAAAAGCATTGCTATAAGTAAAAAAGGAAGATGAGGGCACTATTTACATCCTGCCACTACAAAGAAAGCAAGCAGCTTGTTAAAATATGCTCAAGAGATCTAAGGACACCATCCAACATTTTTCTTTCCTCTTTAACTCCTTGTTCTTTTTTGTCCATTCAGGTTGCTCATTGTGTGAATCAGAAGAACGATTATTCCATAAACTCTTTTTCCATTACAATCATTTCATCAGGCCAGTGGAAAATGTGTCTGATCCTGTAACGGTGCATTTTGAAGTGGCAATTACACAGCTTGCAAATGTGGTAAGATTAATTACCCAACCCTGGTAATATGTGTAGATGCAGATTTTTAGGGAAAAAGCACCAGCTCACTTGCATGCATGTGATTTGCCCACACAGTTGCTACAGGTGCAAATGTAATTATAGTGGTTATACATGCAAATACTAGGGCTATTACTGTGAGATATGTGAATGTGTTGAATTTGCACATATGAATCTAAAGTCAATTCTGTTGAATCTGCTAATGCAAATGTATGTATAGTTTTACTTTATGTTTACAATATACTCTGTGCCTGACAGTCTGTCAGCACTCTTCCTCACATTTGTAGTTGGTGTTATTTATTTATGAATTCCTTGGACAAACATAACAGTTACCACTATTCTCTCATGCATATGAGTGCCCTAACTATTGCACTACAGTATCATGCTCCTTGAGCTCTCTTTCCCTGGCCCCACAAATTTTGCATTCCTTCTGTACAATGGAACAGCTTCTTAGCTTAGCTGCTTAGGAGAGGGCACCCACTCCCCAAGCCCAGGCTAGCCTATTGCCTGAGGTGCTTCTCTGGGAAGTGGAAGATATGAGTTTAAGTCCTCACAGGCTGAGGAAGGAACTAAAAAACCTAGGGGTTTCTCCTTCTGGTATTGTATAGAAGGTAGCTGCTGTTACCACCACCCCCAGCTTTTTAAAAGGAAAGCAGTGAATCATAGAAAATTAGGGTTGGGAGGGACCTCAGGAGGTCTAGTCCAACCGCCTGCTCAAAGCAGGATCATCCCCAACTAGATCACCCCAGCCAGCGCTTTGTTGAGCAAGGCCTTAAAAACCTCCAAGGATGGACATTACATTACCTCTCTGGGGACCCTGTTCCAATGCTTCACCACCTTCCTAGTGAGAAAGTTATTCCTAATATGCAACCTAAACGTCCCTTGCTGCAACTCAAAACCATTGCTCCTTGTTCTGTCATCTGCCACCACTAAGAGCAGCCTACCTCCATCCTCTTTGTAACCACCATTCAGGTAGTTGACAGCTGTTATTAAATCCCTCCTCAGTCTTCTCTTGATAGGTAGGTTGAACATATATTCCTGCTGACATGCTGTTGATACTATCAGGGACACCACCTCTCCAACTAAGAAGCCAGAAGGCAATGCTTGGCCTTGCTCAGCATGCCCAACAAAACCAAGAACACCTGCTTCCTGAAGTCTTGGAGTAACCAGTACATAAGCATCTAAGGTTAAGAAACTCGTTTAGACAGGAGGTGCGGGTACTATAGCAATAGTGTGGAGATGGGAACAGTGCCCTATGGGCACTTGAACGACACCACAAAGAGTGGGATGAGACTGATTCTTGGCTCAAGTGCTTCATAAGCAACCAAACACCATCTCTAAACAGGTACAAACTTCCCCACAATTTATGGATTAAACTAAACAGGATTTGCTCTGGAACTGGATGTTTTAATGCTACACTTTATAAGATTGGCTTAAAGGACAGTCCAATATGTGAGTGTGGTGATGCACCACAGACTGCTGACCACCTCCTCATATATGCAGCATACCCACACACGCAGGATGAGGACCTGGCAAGCATCAACAATAAAGCAGTTATGTGGCTCCACCACATTAATGATGTGTAAAGGGGGAAATGAAGTATATGAGAGAAAAAGAAGTTTTCTCTTCTACAGAATAAATAAGCCCAGTTCCCTCAGTCACTCCTCATACGTCATGTGCCCCAGCCCTCTAACCATTTTTGTTGCCCTGAACTGGACTCTCTCCAACTTCTCCACATCCTTTCAATAGTGGTGGGCCCAAAACTGGACACAGTACTCCAAGTTTGGCCTTACCAGTGCAGAATAGAGGGGAATAATTACTTCCCTTGATCTACTGGCAATGCTTATATTAATGCAGCCCAGTATGCTGTTAGACTTCTTAGCTAGGGACAGACATTCAAAAAGCCTGAGCTTGAACTGATTCAATCTTTGCAGATTAGTCTAACATGGCTAGGCTGAACTGGTTTGCAACAGTACAGACATTCCCTCTGGGCTGAAGAAATGCGGGCACATGCCTGCAGCGGCTCAGGTTGGAAGCCAGGGGACCGCTAAAGAAGCCCTTCCTTCCCTTTCACAGAGCTGAGCTGGGGGGCCTGGCCAGGCCCCAGCAGGATGCTCTGATTAAGGAGGGTTTCTCCCCACACCTTGCTGCTCCTGACCAGCCAGGGAATCAGCAGAGAGTTGGTAACAGTGTTTAACACCCCATCAAGAAAACAAAAGACTCTCTCATTAGGTCAAGCTCTTCTTAAACAACTTTTTCCAAGGAAGGAATGGAGGGATGTTACCAGCTACCTGTTGATTAGCTCCAGAAAGCCCTAAGCAGATACTGTCCTGTCTGACTTTATTCTGTCTGCCTTTCACTGACACCTCCTAGCATTAGCTAGCATACCACATGCTGGCTATGGTCTGTGCTATGGGGGAGGGAAGGGGGGGGAATCCCTGCTTGAGTAAGGGGTGGTAAGGGGGCGGGGCACAGGAAAGTCAGGCAGACACTGCTGTGCCTGCTCTCTGTGCCAGACTCTCCAGCAGAGAGTCCCACCCAGGGCTGCAAAGTGTCTGGGATGCTGGGGGACTCTGGTGTAAGTTAAACCAGGAAGGGGTCTGGAACAGACATTACATAAACCAGTTTGACCCAAATCCTAAATTGGATACTACATTCAACCAGGTTTATCTCAAACTTGTTTCAGCCATTTTCAAGCTGGTTTATGTGCACTGAACGTCTGTTCTTTTACCGGTTTAAACCAGTTTCTGATCACTTAGACCATTTTTTGGGTAATGTCTGTCCCTAGCCCTTGGCAACAAGGGCACACTGTTGACTCATATCCAGCTTATTTTCCACTGTAATCCCTAGGTCCTTTTTTGAGGAGCTGCTGCTTAGCCAGTTGGCCCCAAGCCTGTAGCGGTACATGGGATTCTTTCATCCCAAGTGCGGGACTTTGCACTTGTCCTTGTTGAACCTCATGAGATTTCTTTTGCTGTGCTGCTATCTCAAAGAAAAACTGTAGGTGTTCACCATCAGGAAAGGAGTTCAGGTGCTGGGCCCTGAATGGATGGCGGTGTTTGCCTGCAGTGTTGACTCAGGTGCTCCAGACAGGAGTGGGATTTCAGACTCCAACTGTGCTTTGTGTTTCTCATAGTCTAGCTCTTGGCAACTCCAGCTGGTGTTCAAGATTTTCAAACCACCCCTCTGAGGTACCTAACCCTCCCCATGCACTGCAAAGGGACGTTTGGTGCTTAATTCTGGTTTTTGGATTCCCTAGGGTCAGAATCACCAATAATATTAGTACCATAGTGCTTTATTATAGGGGCCTGAGTCTTATATTTGGTCTGGTACCTTGTGGGATTTTCAAAAGCAGTTAAATGTCTAAATCCTAATAGCACAGGCATTTCTAAAATACTTCTAGGTACCTATCTGCATCATTAGCCACGCAGATACCTGTAAATACATGGCCCAAAATGCTTACCTTTTACTAAGCATCCAAGAAAGAGTCTCACTGGGACATTGATAGCAAACAACAGCCTGTGCTCCTCATGTTCTGCAATCTCTTTGTATACTTAGACTGTAAGGGTTTGGGGGCAGAGGCCACCTTTCTGTTCTGTGTTTTTGCAGGGCCTAGTGCAGGGCCTAGATGTGGTTCATCACTAGGCCCCCAGGTACTACCATAATGAAAATAATGCATAACAAATAAAATAATAATAAGACCCTAATCTGTCAGACACTGAATTCAGTGCCTCTGCAGTAGGGGGTTGCATTGGTTTGGATAGCATCAGTATAAGTGGCCTTTCAGGAATTTTTCTTGCAAGTTCTTATACTGTGTAGGTACAGAGTTTCAAGCCTCCTACCAATGCACATACTAAACACTGGCATAACTTTACATTCATGATCAGTTCCACTGGCTACAATGGGACCACATTTGTGCTTAAAGATAGGCATAGCTATTCCCTGGATCAAGGCCCATATAGTAACAGGCCACCCTGGTTTCTGTCTGTACTGGAATACTATGTAGCTGTCTGAAGATGCTGAAGCTGATTTGTGGGAAGGTAAAGCATGCATCTGTTTATTTATTTTCAGGATGAAGTCAACCAGATTATGGAAACAAATCTGTGGCTGCGACACGTAAGTGATGGCCTTGTGCATCAGTACGTGTCCTGCTTCAGCACTGTGTTTTGCACATGTGTGTTAAAATACAGGAATTGAATGTGAAGAACAAACATCTGTTTGTAACACTCTCTTCAAGGGCACAGATAAAGAGAAGCAGTAATCTAACCAAGCATACAGTTGAAACCTCATCTAAATTATGTAACATAATAGCTGAAATTACATAAAAAGTTCTTTCATATTTCCTTTGGGGATTTACTTCTCCAAGTGTATTACCATGCATTTCATTTGTTAAATCTCATTTCACTGGGCTTAATCCAAGCATATTGAAGGACAATTTAATATACAGCTCTGCACACATATTGAATAGTTTCATAAGAGCAATTTAAGTAACTGATTTATTCAGAAATTGATTATTTGGTGTGTCCAGTTCTATGCCTAACTGAGTGAGAAAAGACTATCAAGTTATCAGAATCTATAGGGAGATACGTGTTTGTGCTCCAGTTGCAAACACAGATTTGTATGTTTATATTGGTCATTAACATAGGCATTCCACTGCTATGTAAACCAACACCTGCAGTACATAAATATTTTCATTTCCCCATCTTCACTTAGCCCTCTCTATATAGACAGCAAAGTCTTCAGGGAAGGGGCATCTCTTGCTATGTAGCTATATTGTTACTCGTCTTTGGGCTTACAGGCACTATTGTGATAACAGTGACTGCAGTGCCACAGAAGAATCACTACAGGAGACTCATGTAGGTCAGCCTGGTTGTAGATTATGGAAACAGCATCAAGCCAGAAGAGAGCCATTAGTTTAACTCCAGCAATCCTCATTTATTCTTTAGATTGGGGCAGGCAAAATACGGCCTGGCGGCCAGATCCAGCCTGCCAGGCCATTCTATCTGGCCCACACGGCCCCTAAAAAATTTAGAAAAGTAATATTTATTTGCTCCTGGCTGCCTGTCAAAGATGACAGGAGATAAGGGCAGTAGGACCCAGGGGAAGCCAGCATCAGGACACAGCAGCAAGGCCCACCCAGCCCTGCCCCCCCAACCAGAAGCCCCTGCCTAGCAGAGGCTTCTGGCCTGGAACCATGGGGCTGTTCCTGCTTCCCTGCACCAGAGAGGGATACATGGCCCTTGACAGCTTGCCAAAACTCAGTAAGTGGCCCTCCGCACAAAATAATTGCCTGCCCCTGCTTTAGATCCACTTGCATGGAGCTCTAGGATTACTGGAGTTAATGGCTCTTTTCTGGCTTGATGCTTTCATCCCAAAGGCCTGTAAGCGCTGAGCCTTCATTTTCTGGACACACAGCACATTTTCCTTTCCAATCTCTAAGAGCAAAATAAAAGACTAGGCTGAAAGAACTGAAAACTCCAGCGATCATTCTTTCTTCCTCTAGATTTGGAATGACTACAAATTGCGATGGGATCCAATGGAATTTGATGGAATTGAATTTGTTCGAGTACCAGCAGATAAAATCTGGAAACCTGACATTGTCTTGTATAATAAGTATGATTCTTTTTGCCTTTCCCATCTTTTGAAAGTTACCTTTTCCATCTTTTGCCTTTCCCATCTTTTGAAAGTTACCTGGTTTCCATCATCCTTGGAAACTGCTCTTTTGCTTTCATGTTCGTATTGTTCACAATTTCTCCTCTGTATTCCTAGTGCTGTTGGGGATTTTCAAGTGGAAGGAAAAACCAAAGCAATCCTTCGATATGATGGCATGATCACCTGGACTCCACCAGCTATTTTTAAGAGTTCTTGTCCTATGGATATCACCTTTTTCCCTTTTGATCACCAGAACTGTTCACTGAAATTTGGCTCCTGGACATATGACAAAGCCAAAATTGATCTTGTGATCATTGGCTCCAAAGTAGATATGAATGATTTTTGGGAAAACAGTGAATGGGAAATAGTTGATGCTTCTGGCTACAAACATGATATAAAATATAACTGTTGTGAAGAGATCTATACAGATATAACATACTCCTTCTATATCCGTAGATTACCAATGTTTTACACCATTAATTTGATTATTCCCTGTCTCTTCATTTCATTCCTAACTGTGTTAGTATTTTACCTTCCATCTGACTGTGGCGAAAAGGTGACCCTCTGCATCTCGGTGCTGCTTTCATTGACTGTGTTTTTATTGGTGATCACAGAAACAATTCCATCCACCTCTCTGGTCATTCCTCTGGTTGGAGAATACCTGCTTTTCACCATGATTTTTGTGACCCTATCAATTGTTGTCACAGTGTTTGTTTTGAACATCCATTACAGGACTCCTACCACACACACTATGCCCAAATGGGTGAAAACTGTCTTCCTTAACCTGCTGCCCAAACTCCTGATGATGAGGAGACCTTTGGAAGAGCAGACCAAGGTTGGTTCAAAACAAAATAAGAAGGAACCACCCAGTAAATATGGAAAAATGAAGCACAGCAAATCCAGTGATGCTAAATTATACAAGGAGCAGAGATGCTGCCATTGTGACAAAGTGAATGACCTGGCTATCAGTAAAAAGAGACGAGCAAGCCATCATTCAATGAAGAGAGTAACAGAACATGTGGAGTACTCCCCTGAGATCAAGGAAGTCATATGCAATGTTCAATTCATTGCAGAGAACATGAAGAATCAAAATGAAACAAAAGAGGTAAGGGAGGTGGTCACCCCCTCACCAGCACAGGGTCATGCTTTAAACCTGTTCTTCCCTCTGAGCGTGTCTACACGTGCATTTATGCTGGCTTAAATTTACTGTGCTGTAAGTGGGAATAGGCTGGCATCTACATGTGCAACCGTTAAAGCGCATTAACGCTGTTTGTGGACTAACTTGGGACTAGAGTTAGTCCACAAACACAGTGTTACTGTGCAGTAAGGCATTTACATGTGCATTACTGTGCAGTAACTAATTGGACATAAATCACCATGTTTTTCTGTGCAATACAGGTGTGCACATGTAGATGCACACCCATACTGCACAGTAATTTCAGTTACTACACAGTAAATGTGCAGCTGTAGACCTGTCCAATGGTAAGCAGTTATGTGCACTAGTAGTAACTGTTAAACTAGATGGTGCTCTTTGTGGAGGTAGATGCTGCTTAAGATTGATCTAAGCCCCCCGGTAGACATTATACCTAAGACACGATTAACCTGTTAATCACATCATAAAGAGTAACCCAGCCATGTTCAAGAAATTGATGGCCCAACAAAACAAGAAACCAGCCACAAAATTAGTCCACAAATCGTATGTAATATTTTTCTGGCTGGTTTCCATTGCACTTTAAATTGAACATGTGGCAACAGTAAACCAGAGCTGGTGCAAGACCTCAGTGTGGTGCCGGGACTGGGACCAACAATCAGTTGATCGTCTGTCCTGGCCCCAGGACTTCTCTGGTTTATTCCAGGTTGTGGGCACCTCACTTGCCACTTACCAGTGCAGAGGAAGCCTAGGACCATGATCCCAGGCTCCCCCTGCATAGGCAAGTAGCAATGACATCATTGGGGTCTGATCCCTAATCCCAAAATCATGATTCCTGGTATTAAATTAACAGGTGCCAGGGGCCCAAGTATTGGGAGCTGGTTCGTAGCCCTCTAGTGGGCCTCACCATGTTTGGCACAGGAACCACCAGAAACCAGTCTGAGCATCCAGATATCTCTAAGCAGGTCTGACTTGTTTATATATGTTTAGCAGACACTTGGCACATCTACACATACACCCAACTGTGCAGTTGTTACTGTGCAGTCATTTAGTATTTGCTTTAGCTAGTTGTTCATGTATAGACGAAACAAGGGGAATGTGTGCATGACACTTTAAAGCGTGTTAAATGCTTTTGCACCACTTTAATGGTGTTGGTGTAAATTTGGTGGCATATTGTACCTCAGATGACTTGGGAAGCAGCAAACTAAAAGGAGTTTTAGTTTGCTGCCCTACAGCCGCAAAGCAAAATACCGGGTTCTGTGCAGCTCAGGGGCTCTGCAGGAAGCCCTTCAGGCAGCCTGGCAGCAGCCCAGGAAAGCAGGCTCCACCCAAGATCTTTTTTTTTTCCCCCTGGAGTCTGCCTGCCTGCCTGAGCTGTGCGAGGGCCCAGTGCTTGCCTCTGTGGCTGCATTGCTCCCCGGGACTGCACGAGCCAGCTGCCTGCAGGTGGGTGCCGCCTGGGGGGGTGGCACTGCCACAGAGGGAAGCACCAGCTCCCCCCCACACCTTGCAGCCCAGGGACCACTCCACCGGCCAGCAGCTTGCCCTCCCTTCCCACCGCCACAGAGGCAGGTGTGTGTGTGCATGGCACGGGGGTTTAAAGGGCCCTAAATTGAAGCAGTGTTATTAAAAATGCACCGCTTCAATTTAGGGCCCCCATTTTGTCTACACAGGCCCAAAGGCACTGGGCTGTGGCTATGGGCATGTAGTTTCATTTATCAGTTCTGCCATAGATTTTCCATGTGACCTTAGGCAAGTCACTTAGTCTGAGCTCCAGTTCCTCATGGGGACAGTGTCTGTCATATTTTCTTAGACTGCTGACTCTTCAGTGCAGAGATTTTCTCTCATTAGGTATTAGTGTTGTGTTCAGCACAATCTGACTCTTGCCAAGCCACTACACGGGATCATGAGAGTCCCTTAGCCTGATACACTGTAGAAGACATAGCAGTACCCGTGGGGAACCTGAGCAATCTTCCCATACAAGAGAAGGGGAGCTGGAGTTCCCATTTCAGAACAGTATTTCAGAATTTTTTTTAGATGATTTGTTTTGATCTTCAGCCAGAAACTGAAAACTTTCTCATTTTGGGGTGTTCTTATTTTCAACAAAAAGTCTAGGTTTTCCATGAAAAGCAGATCCCTTTTGCAACAAAAATAATTTTATTGGAAAACAATTCTTGTTGAAAAACCAGTCTGACAGAATATTTTCAAACAGTCCTAGTAACTCTAGTAATAAATTTTTGTCTCCTACTGGTACCTGACCTGAATGAAAGGTTTATGAGCCTGGTATGGTTTCTAACAAAAGTATTTAGCTGTTTGTCTGACACAGGGCTAAATCTGACTATTACTACTGCAGGACAGAGATTCAAATCCCATTGACTACCCTGAGAGCAGTGCTAATTTCATTAGTATCTATAATATGCAGTGGGATCCATAGATGGCCAACATTGTATATGGGATGTAATTATTATTAAGAAATAATAAATATAGGTAACTCAGTATAAGTTTCCCTTCTGCTCCTTCTGCTCAAGGTCACATGCCCCCTACAGTGGCATAGCCCAGAAACTTTGTAGTGCAGAATCAGTAAACAATAATAAAATATTAATACTTAGCCTAAGAAAGGATATGCATTATCCAGCACTCAGCTCTGACTGCCTGGGCTAGAATATGAAATTCACTCTGGGATTAATCATAAAGTATTCTACTTGAGTTGACAAGCTGAAGGATTTATTTAATGCTCAGGCATTTTGCTGGACCTCCACACCCTGCTGAGTTTTACCTACACAGATAGAGCCAGTGGAGACGGATGTTGAGTGGAAAGGAGAAAGAAAGCTGAGGAAGTCCTTTTCTTTGTAGATTGAAAAGAATTAAGCAGCACTATGGTTAACCTTGAGAAGAATATTTTCAGTCACTGACAAACTGAATTCGAATATTCCCTTCAGAACAAAAAGGTCTGTACAAAGGTTTAGTCTTTTTTTCTTCCTATGACTTGTCAAATTGGAGAGGCTGGCAACATATTTTTTATTTACATAAACATTTACAAAATAGATCATTAAATTTTGGGGGTGGAGGTAATTAAAAAAAGCAAAGTTTTTTAAACTGAGACTCAGCATTTGAACGAATAGGTTTGTGTGTCCAAAGTAATACATATTCCAGATGACCAAAGAGAGATGTCACCCAGAATGACGCTCTGAACATGCACTTTGGACTTCTCAGAAATCAGGGGCTGGATACTTACCTGGTGTAAGTCAGTGCATCTCCTTGGAATTCAGTGCAGCCTCATTGCTTTACACCAGCTGAACAGCTGGCCCCTCATGTTTGCAAAGAAGATACATGTGAGGCCAAAATGTGGCTTTAAAAGAACTGGGTCTAAGATGCACGGGGTTTCTGAACAGGCCTGGATTCAGGGATAGGACCTATAGGCAGAGCTGTGCAAACCACTGATTTTTGCAGTTCACCAGCTGAACAGATAGACAGACAGATGGACGGAGAAGCCAATTATGGATTTTTAAAAGGGGGGTGTGGAAGCCGTGACCAGAGCTGCAGGGGTGGCTACACCCTCCCTCTCCCAGCCTCCTCCCCACTCCTCATCAGGGTGGGCAGACCACATCACAGCAAGAGCAGCTAGGGACTTTCTAAATTCTGAAACTGGTGAGATTTCCCTACCCTTCCGCACCCTGATCAGAGACACATCTCCTCCCCTCCCATCCCCGCCACCCCCTTCCTGACTGCTTCTGCCCCTGCCCACACTGTCCAAGAGATGAGAGGAGCTCAAGAGCAGCTCCAGCCAAGCTACACAGGAATTGGGCTCAACCCAAAGCAAAAGCAGTGGCAGTGGCAGCAGGCAGGCAGGTTCCCCCTCCCTGTGTCTGCTACCAAGCTGGCTGAGAACACCTGGGGGGACCAGGCAGGGAGGGGCAACCCGCCTGCCTGCCACCACCGCTGTCACTATCCCTAGCTAAGCCCAGCCCCCGGGGCTGCCCAGCTGGAGTAGCTCTGGAGCTCCCTTCACCCCTGGTACAGTGGGGACAGCAGCAGCACAGGCAGGGGAGAGATGGGGAGGCAAGGAGCTTAGTGGAGTGAGGATGTGCCTTTGACCATGGAGTGGAAGGGAGGGGAGGGATTCTTATCTTCTTCAGGACTTAAAGAAGTCCCTGGCTGGTGCTACCTTCTGCATGGTCAGTAAGGGGGGCACACTGCACTCCTCTGGGTCCACCCCTAGAGAAACAGATATATGAAAATTCCTGGGGAAAAGTGGGAAAAAAAATGTTTGGAGTTGTTTGACGTATTTCTTTCAGGCTGAAATGAAATGCTTCCTTTTGTTTTCAGTTTAAAAAAATATATTTTAATAGCATTGAAGTGACTTCAGTGGAAAGTGCCATTTCAGATTGAAGAAGCAAAGCCTTCCATTTATAAATTAAAGCTACAGCATTTGGGAATTTTTATCCCCAGGGTTTGGTATTTGGTTTTGACTTGACTAAAGCTATTTGCTGTTAGTGACACTAATTCATGACAAGTTTTTATCAAACCAAAACTGAATTTTTCAGTAAAAATAGGTTTTATCTGAAAATTTCCCCCAGCTCTAACTGCAGAGTCATGCCTACTGGCCTAGCTAGTAGAGCCACATGAGGGCACCAGAATCTGAGCTGCCATGTTATATAATGTGCCTTTTAACCCTTATTAAAGCAGAAGAAAATGAGTGAAATATGGCCAAGCTTTTCTGATGCCAGCCTGAGGCTCCAGACAGCTTGAAATGCCATTTCCAAGGAGTGTGAACTGCTCTGAGAAGTGTGAACTACCCTATTCATTCACCTTAATTCTGAAAGCTACTGCCCTCCAAAGAAGAAACAGGACACTGATATGAGAATAGGGCCATAGGGCGTATGTAGATAGAATGGGGGGCCCTAAATTGAAGTGGTGGGTTTTTAAAAACATCGCTTCAATTTAGGGCCCTTTAAAACCCCATGTTGTACACACAAACACACACTTACCTGCCTCTCAGGTGGCGGGGCGGGCAGGGCAAGCTGCCAGCAGGTAGAGCGGTCCCTGGGCTGCAGGGGGAGAGGGACACTGGTGCTTTCCTATGCAGCAGCAGTGGGGCCCCCCACAGGCACCAGCTCGGGCAGTCCTGAGGGGCACCACAGCCACGGAGGGAAGCACCGGCCCCCGTGCAGCTCAGGCAGGCACCACGAGGGGAAAAAAAATAAAGATCCGGCTCACCACTTTTTTTTTTTTTTCTTGGGTGGAGGCTGCTACCAAGCTGCCTGCACAGGCTTTCTGTAGAGCCCCTGAGCTGCACAGAGCCTGGTGCTTCGCTCCACAGCTGTAGGGCAGCAATCTGCACCCCAAGTCATTTAAGGTGCATTACGCCACCAAATTTGCTACAACGGCTGAAATTACTGGGCAATACGCCACCGCATGCAAACACCAACACCATTAAAGCAGTACAAAAGCATTTAACATGCTTTAAAGTGTCGTGCACACATGCCCCTCATTTACACACTGCATAAACACCAAGTCTGCCTATGGGCCTGCCTTGTCAGGATGCAGCAAGATCCCCATTCTCCACCAGAGCATCTTTAAGCCACACTAATACATTGAATCACACAGCTCCATGAAACAGATCTGGTGTTCTGTGTGAGAGCCAGTTCATTGGTTCACCCAGCTAAGATGGGTTTGCAGCCACTTGACATCCTGGGAGCAGCATGAATCCACCCCTGAAAAGGTACAGACGTAACCTAGTAGCACTTTATAAGTCCGTACCAGTGGCTATTGTTTTGGTTCCCTTTACAGGGCTTCTAAAACTAGTTTATATAGCACTCTTTGTCCAGAGTTATTAGCAGCACTTTGTTAACCAGGCCTTTGTCAATCATAGGAAGGAAGGGCTAAAAGTAACTTCAAAAGTTCATCTAGTCCAGCCTCCTGCTCAAGGTAGGATCTTCTCTATCCCAGACAAGTGCCTGTTGAACCCGCTTTTGAATATTTCCAGGGATGGGGATTCTACAACCTCTCTGGGTAGTCTGTTCCACTGCTTGACCATCCTTGTAGTTAAACCATTCCTGCTAATCACCAGCATACATTTCCTTTCCTGCAGCTTGAGGCCATTGCCCCTAGTCCTGTCCCCTCTTACCACAAAGAAAAGCCCATCTTCATCCTCTCTATAATCACCCTTCAAGTGTTTTCTATGATTCTATTTGAAGACTGCTATCAGATTCATAGATTCATATAAGTAGGGTCAGAGGGGACCTGAGCAGATCAACTACTCTGACCCCCTGCCCTGGGCAGGAATGAATACAGGGCTTATATGACCCCTACTAAGTTTAAGCTCAAATGACGCCAGCTAGGTAGTTATCAAGCCTCCTTTTAAAGACCCCTAAGGTAGATCCCTGCTTAGTCTTCTCTTCTCCAGACTAGTGATCCTAGTTTGTTCAACCTTTTCTCGTAAGTCTTGGCTCCCAAGCCTTTAATCATTTTTGTTGCTCTCTGCTGGACTCTTTCCAATCTGTCCACATCTTTCTTGAAATCTGGGGTCCAAAACTGAACACAATACTCCAGATGAGGCATCACTTATGCTGTATAGAGTGGAAAAAACAACTTCCCGTGATTTGCAAGTGACAACCCAGTATGCTGTTGGCTTTGTTTGCAAAACAGCACACTGTAGGCTTATTTCACTTTATGGTCTATTGTAACCCCCAGGTCCTATGCTGCAGTACAGCAGCCTAGCCAATCATTCCCTAGGCTCTATTTGTGTATGCACCTACTTTGTCCCACATGCAGGACTTTGCCCTTCTTCTTGGTTAATTTCATCTGGTTGATTGTGGACCATTTCTCCACTCTGTCCAGATCACTCTGGATCCTAGTCCTACTCTCCAGTGTTTGGAACTCCACCCAATTTGGTGTCTTCTGCAAATTTGCTAAGTATGCAGTCAATCCTATCATCCAAATCATTAATGAACGTATTAAACAATACTGGACTTAGGACAGAGGTATCCAGGGGAATTCCACTGGATACCTCTTCCCAGTTACACAGAGTCATTGATGACAAGTTATTGAACATGATGATCCTTCCAGTGATCTTACAAACCTTTGGAAATACAGTGCCAATGGAAACCAGAATTTTTCACCTGTGGATTTTGCTTCTATTCAAACTAGGGGTGGTCATTTTTATCCCAGAAAAAACATTGAACCCACCCTTGCAGATATCAGAATGCTACTTCCTGCTCAGTTTCAGCCTGCAGAAGAGTCCACTAGACAGCAAAAACCAGAGCCAAAAAAACAGCAGTGTGTGTTGAAGTTGGGACAAAAGTTTAAAATATTTAGGCATCCTGGCCACTGACAGTAAAGGGAAGGAGAGATGAAAGAGTAAATCCTGTTAGAGGGACATCATCAACTTATTTGTGCCTAAATCTAAATGCACATTACAGTACTAGGAACTATTGATAATTGATTCTCAGATGACCTGGAGGTTAGTTTGATTCACCTAAAAGCTTACCTGTAGTTTATATTTACTTCCTGGCCTCAGAAAGTTGGCTGGAAATCTTGCAGAAACAGCTTCTTTCATGGGGCTTCCAGTATACAACAAATTACTTCCTGTCCTTAAAGGGAGTGCTCTTGTCCACCTGCTTTACTTGTGGCAAGTTAAAGGGTGTTTTTGATGCTTCAGGCCTTGTGCTGGTAGTTGTGTATGAGAAGAGTTCTTGAAGTTTTTAAGTAGATTAGACAAATACTTGTCTAGAATGGTTTAAATGGGGATGATCCTGCCTCAAGCAGGAAATCGGACAAATGATTGATGTCCCTTCCAGTCCTACTTTTCTATAATTCTATGTTCAGCTGATAAGCTGCCCTAAAAAGCCATGAAGTCAAAACAGGCTGGGATGGCAATATAATATAATGCACTATGCTTGGATTAGGTCTGGTAGAAATGTTTGTAAGTATTACTAATTCTGAAGTTTTCTTTCTCTGGAAGTGGTTCAGTGCAGTATTTCAAAGGGCAGGAACTCCCTGGAAAACAAGTGCTTTTCTCTGGGTTGTGTTGAGAGCACTCAGTTCAGGATTCAAGAGAGTGCATAAACGAGCATATAGTTGCTAGTCTCAGTCAGTGCCCTTCTACACCACATAGATTAGGTCCTTCACTAGAGAAATCAATGGAGTAAATCTGGAATTATACAGTGGCATGTGTACTGTCTCTTGTGTCACCTTCTGAGCCAAATTCAGCGTTCATGCTCATATGCATTAATCTAAAATAACTAACCCTGGTGAACCTCCGGATAGAATTTCTCTTTGCTCAAGTCTGGCACAGTTCTGTTAGTGGAAGTGGGTATATGTGTTCCCAGGAGAAGCCTCATGCTTGGGCTGAATTGGAAACTCTTAGCCAGGGTTTTTCAGAAGTGATAAGTGATTTGGGGGGTTTGGTGTGAGATACTTCAGCAGAGCCTGATTTTCCACAAAGCATCATATTCAGACCCCAGGAAGAAGTCTCAAACTGGGCATCCAAAATCACTTGCCACTTTTGAAAAAAAAAATCTAGGTGTAATCCAGTTTGCTGAGTGCACCCTGTTCATAGGATTTCTTTCTATCATGAGATAATATTAATCCAGCATTTATTAAATATGATTTATCCTTTCTTTTTTATTGCAGGTGGAAGATGACTGGAAGTATGTGGCTATGGTGATAGACAGGGTCTTCCTTTGGGTATTTATCATTCTCTGTGTGTCTGGGACAGCAGGATTATTTCTACAGCCAATAATAGGAGACACATAACTTCTACAGTGCTGTTTTGGTTTCCTTTTGTCTTATTGCAGTTTCTCCTTATGGAGTTCCCCATTTGTCCTGTTTTCTTCTTCCCTTACATTCACCCTATTCTGCAGAGCTGAAGTTACTGTGATGTCCTCTCTGGAAAAGAAAACAGGATAAAGCTGCCTTTGCCATCCAAAAAGGTTTGTTTTTCAAGGGATGGTGGCTAGTAGAGAGGCAGAGGAAGCATTTCTCCCCTTTGGGCACCACAGTGGCATTTCCAGCAATGCCTACTGCTTCTTTAGTGGGAGGGTTTTCAAGAGTTATTGAAGTCAATAGTAAATGACTGCAGACTGCATCAACAGAGCTAAGTCAAAGTGAGTTTTCTCATTGCCTTCAGTGGAACAGAGTCAGGCCAATACTGACTACTCTTGAACACCCCCCTCCCTACCACCCTTGGAGTATCTTAGGAAGCTTTTCTTCTAGGGATAGCTCACCCTGAACTTCTGGTGTGTTTATTTTCCTGTACTTTTTGCTGTGTAATATTCTTCAGTGTAGAGCTTGGATCATGTACTCAGTCATGCAGAACGCTTGGATATTAGTTTTTGCTGTGTTGTTATAGTGAGTCCATCAACGTAATTGAAACCCCCAGAAAAATGAAAACCGGTAACATTTTGGAAGAGGTTAGAAAAAGCAAAACTCCCCACCCCCTGCAAAGTGCATACTCCAATGAAAACTCTAGTTCAGCCCCAAAAAAGCCTTTGAACATGTGCTTTGCTTTAGTTCTATGCTTATGTCTCATTGAAGATAATGGGCCTAAGCACCTGCTTAAGGCACTATCCCTGCAGAGATGTAGATGCTCTCCTACTTTCACTGCACAGAAGCTCATTGACTCCAGGTTGACTGATCACAGGGCAAAACAGCAACATGTGAATAAAGAGTAAATCCAGAAGGGGCTTTAGCGCCCAAGTGCCATTTCAGATGGCAAAGTTCAATAATGAGGTGCCACTAAGACCCTCAGCCTCCAACCCCCATCCCTTGATGCTGCCAGATGCCCAAAGTCCCTAGGACTCTAAGATTCTGCTTTGTAGCATATGCAAAGCCACCGGCTCCTTATTCCACTGAGCTGCTCAGAGCCCTGGCTCATGCCCAGACCCCTGCAGGATTCTCCAAGGAGACGGTTCCCCATTTATCCAGTCTGCAGAGCCTCATCTCACAGGCATTCTCAGAACATATCCACAGGATGAGGCCCCATGCAGAAGGCAGCTGATGGCATTTTTGGGGCAGGGGGTTTTCCTCCAACAGATCAGTGGATAGGGTTGGGAGACCCTGCTTCAAATTGTTACCCATATCCTAGGAGTGCATAGGTAGCAAGCTGTTGAAAGGGTGTCAAAGATACAGCCCACAGGGGCTGGGAATTCAGGGGCAGGGCCTGCTGCCAAATTTTTAGCTATGAAGCCCCACTGGGGTTGTATGTTGGTGTTGGGGAAACAAGAAACAGTCCACAGCACCACGCACCCTGCTGCTGCTGGGTCTAGATCTGGCCCATAAGATAGGTGAGTTTGACATGTTTGGGCTGATGAATCTAAAGCAGGGGCAGGGTTAGGTCTCTCTCTCTCTCTCTCTCTCTCTCTCTCTTTCTCAGTCTCTCTATTTCATGAAATAGAGCTGGTGCAGTCAGCCCCTCTCCAGGTGTGAACCTTGATCAAAAATAGGTGCTATTTGCCAGACCGGAGTTAAGCATCTAAATACTTCCAAGCAGTTGATTTTAGGCAGCACCCCTGTCATTGTCCTTCCCTACAGGCCAGCTTGGGTGGCTCTTCACTCTGAATGCAGCTTCTGTTCCTGACTGCCCCTGTGAGTCATCTGGATACCTAACTTGGGGGCTGAGGGTTATAGTGGGCAGCCAGATATCTCTGAGTTGGGTGCTGCAGTAACTAAGGCCCCACCTGGTTTGAACCCTGTGTTTTGCCCACAAGTCAACACAGGGGATTTCTTTATGCCAGGTGCTTTATCCCAAGGGACATGCCTGGGTATATTCTTACTAGCTTGGCTCTGAGGACTCTATCCTGCCTTCTTTGCTAACAGACAAGATGCCCATTGGAGTCAACAGCCATTTTTAACCTGAATATGCAGTGGAAGATCAGGGTCTAAATACATATAACTCAAACCCTGTCCCATACAGAAAGACAAGATATCAGGACACAGGTGTGGGGGCAGTGCTGTGCTTTTGATGTCTACCACATGTTCTGGACTTCCTGCTTTCCTGAACCAACACCATCGCCTATGAAGAAAGGCCCATTTTTTTTTGTAATATAATAGAGCAAAGACTTAAGAACAGGGTTACTTAAAATTTTAGTAAACTGATTATTTAAAATGAGTGTGGAAAAGAAGAAAGGCTTGATAAGTGCCAGGGAACATTCTGTTAAGAAGAAAATATTCCTCAATGCAGTATTTAAAGTGTATAGTACAACATGATATATATAAAAAAGTAGTGAAACTAGTGCTGTCTTTAATAGAGTTGAATGCTGCACAACCACAGTGACCGTTATACAGGTGTCTGAACAAGCATTGCTAAATAAAGACACTGGAATGCACTGTCTCGAAGAATTCATGGTTTATTTATTTTCTTCCAAGCTGACTACTGCAGTATGTCACGTGATTTCAGTTCTCATTTGTAGAGGAGTGAATGGGGAGTGGGTACGGGCAGGGGAGGGGGCTGCATTCTGGTTCTAAAAGTGTTATACTTGCATGGGTAGCATCCGCTTTCTGTTATTCGCTGCTGTTATTCACAAGCAAAGGGCAAACAGCTATGGAAAGAACTGTGGTTGAGGGTGTGTAGCAATGGAATCCAGGGCAGTGGGGCTAATGACCCAGAAGCGACAGGATGCTTTCGTTAGTAAAAATGCTACTGCTGTTATGGGGTCAAAGTGATGAGATCCAGCAGTTCATCCTTCACCCAGTTTATAGGTCCCACTCTTCCCAAGAACTCTGCTTCTCACTGCAAACTCGGGGTGCCCAGCAGCTGGCAATCCAGCTTTCTTGACTTCTGGCTCAGGTGAAAGGCTCAAGTGGATTCTTATCTGAACGCGCCAGTAGGCAGACCTTACCCAATGGTCTCCTGAGCAGTGGCGATACGTAAGGGGTGCACAGGGGTGCACGTGCACCCCCTGAGAGCACTGATGCACCCCCTAGCTGCTTCCGGGAGCACTGCGGCCACTTCCCAGTTGGTGAGTTTTGCCGCGGGGGGCCCCCCTCCCTCCCTAGTTAGCAAGACTGGCCGCAGGGGGACCCCCCACCCCTGGTGGCTGATTGGTCACTGGGGGGGCCTGTGTCCCCCAACTAAGGTGGCACCAGTCACCCATGCTCCTGAGCAACATCATTCAAGTGCTGAAGCAGTTTCTAGAGCAAGCTGCATTTTACCTGGGCTTACACAGTGGCCTGACAAAGCACATACCAAGCACATGTGTTCTAAATGTCTCCCTTCATTGACTCCAGTGTGACATCAGCTAAACTCATTGTGTCCTGTGCCCTGGCAACTGCAGCATCAGCAGCAAAAACGCTGTTGTCTCAGCAATATAATTAAATCACAGCATCAAATGCTAATTTGTCCAAAGACGGTGCTTCAGAGGCTAATTCTTACCAACTCTTGCCTCACTTTATATCTTCTTTCATGCTCCCAACTATTAACTGAAGCCTCCTGAATTATTAAAGAAGCTCATGGCATTTGATTACTTTTGATTTAATGCTACCTGTTGTCCTCTCAGTGGCTCTTCCCACAGCAGCAAGCTCATGAAAGGCAGTGCTTGTTAGCAGTGTTTGAATTTTAAAGATTTGAAATGCTTACATACAGGGGCCAGGGGGAGGCATTTATAAAAGTTTCTCTCCCATTTTATAGATCAGTTGGTTGAAAGTGTTTGAATTTTGAAAAAGTAAGAAAAAAAAGATATGAATTAAATTTTGTATTAGTTTTATTCTGAAGATGCTTAGTATGGTCTGTGGAAACTACAGTGCATCTTTCTTCACGATCAGTTGCATTATATGGGTGGAATTAGCAATGAAAAATGCTCTTTTCTTGGGTAACTTTAAACTGCTCATTTGAAACCTTTCCTTTGTGTGGATTTAGCCAGAGATTCTTTTAAGAGGCAGCTGTAGCCAATGTATGGCCAGCAAAAATGCAGTCCTAAATATTGGTTTGAGATGTAGTTAAAAAAATGCATTGGTAACTTATCTGTCTTGTATATGTAGAATTGGGTCAATTAATCCATTAACAGTCACCATATTAACTGAAACTGGCAATTGCCCAGGAACTTTTGATTGCATAAAAAAAACCCAGCATGAATATGATTGTGCGGGCTTTACACAGAAGATGAGCATCAACCAGAGGTAACAGGGCAGAAGAAGTAATGATTTTGCATATCTTCACTATGTGAGGTATTCTAGTCTTTCCTGGTTGTCTAAGAGGGCATTTTTTGGATGTTTACCAAGCATTTTTGACACTTATGCACCCAGGGGAATTCTATTCCTGGATCGGTAGCCCTGCACACCTGAATGACTAGGTAGGACTGCATAGTTGCTCCAATGGAAGCTGAGCAATAATGGCCATCTACAAGTCCTTTGTGGAGGTGATGTGGACTCAGATACCTGAGAATGGAGTCAACCAGATGCCATGACTATTAGACTTAGCCTTTGGAGAAGAAAAAGAGTGTGTGTGTTCCCATTTTTTCCCTGTAGCTCCATAACTAAAACACTCACCTGGGATGCTGGAGTCCCTAGCCTTCCCTTACCCAGAAGAAGTTTGAACAAAAGCTCCTTTTGTTTCCCAGCACAGTACTCTAAGCATCCTAGCACAAGTCAGGCATTACTCACTGCCTCCTCCGGCACTCCTTTGGAAGCCGAGTCACTGATGTAATCCTTCAAAAAAAGGATGGAAAGCCATGAAGAAGCAAGGGCCCCAGCTAAAACCCAGGGCTCCCTTCCTTCCAGACTAACTACTGCTTCAATGAGTCACAAACCCTCTGGCTTGCTCCCTTCCTCCTGGGCCCCCAGACCCTCCTTTCACACCTTCCCAGGTGGCCAACTTCCAAAGGCATTCTGGAGAAGGGACTGGTTAATGGCTGACCTGTGATGTGGTGATTAGGGTGCTTTTCTGGGCAGTCAGAGAAACCCTACATTCAAACCCCTCTGGGTAAGGGGAGGCCCAGGGCCTACAGCTTTCCAGGGGGATGCCCTAGCCACTGAGCTACCTAGAAGAAAGATGGGAGGTCTCATTTGCTTGATTGCTGCCAGTCTAGATATATCTGTAGTCGTGTATATGTGTTGGGCTGTGTCCAGAAACAGTTCCTCTGGATGCATAAATGCCAAAAATATCCTATAGACATCCAAGACTACAGACAGTTAGCCACCCTATGTGCCCAGTCCTGTGATATTCTGAGTTCCCAAAACTCCCATCAAATTGAGGAGTGCTAAAGAAAGCTCTTGGGAAGTAGCTATCACTTCACAAGGATAGGCCTCGCAATCAGGGCATCCGTGTAAACTAGTACTGAAAGGAAAACCAATTCGGACAATGTTAGATATGGAAGCTGCATCAGATATGGCCTAACATAACACCTTAGAGCCAAGACACCAAGGATGGGTGACAGATAAGACTGAAAGTCCAATCAACTTCCCTTGCAACATGGCAATGTTGTGCTGAAAGCATTCACAGGAGAGACGGTGACCATACTGATACAGAGGACACAAAGGTCAAAACTCTAACACTAGACAGCTGAATTGACACTGTCTATGGGGAAGAGGAAACACCCACAGCAGACTGTGGCTTGAAAATCTTTGCAGGAACTGGTCATAATATCACAACACGAGCTGGATGAGATAGGAGAGCAGTGGTGCAGAAGCACGTGTCTGTTTCCGCAGGGGAACTAAGGGATGTGAAACACGTTCGTTGGGCAAGCAGCTGAAATTTTATAACATGAACTTGGTCCTACTTGCCATCAGCATACCTGAAGCTTCTAGTTAGGACTGTATTCTGTCATTTGTAACAAGGAGGTCACCCCACTGGAACAGTGTTAAACCTGGCATCGAACAAACAGGCATCAAGTAACTGAAAATACACTGTTAGGTACAGCACCTTATCTTCAGTCTCTTCCAGAAAAATCAATCTACTTCTTTAGGTAAGGACATCCAGCAATATGACCTAGCTGTGGGGGAGGGGAACTTAAAAAAAATAGATCCTTCTCCCCCCATCAAAAATACACTGGAATATATTTTGGTGATGTTGGAAACTCAATAGACCACATCAATACTCCATCTAAAAATTCTTTAACCCTCCTAAAGACAAGGAATATTTACATAGTTACTTCAACTATATTTCTCACTAATCAACTGCTTACTACATAGCACTTGGTCTAATCAGTGAATGGTCATAAACAGCAATCAGGTGCTTACAATAGGGTTACTAATGTGAGATGTTGACCCATGCCAGCCTGCTCCATCATGCTCAGGAAGAACTCACAACTATATCCTGTTAGCTGGACCCTTAATATAAAACCTATATGATTTGATCCTACAGTCTGCATGCTTCTATGTATTCCCACATAATCAGGTTCTTAAGTTAGGCCCTTAAATCCATAATTAGGGAAAATAGTCAAGTGGGGTAAGAATCATTGAGGGAAAGTTCTCATCAGTTTCATGCCTTAAGGAAGACATCTCCAAAAAGGGCTGAAGGTCATATAAATCAGTACAGCGCCCATGAAGCCAGTACCACAATGCAAATTTACCCCAGTTTATTTTACATCCTGCTCTGCCTATAGGCAAAAGCAGCAATCTTTGTGCTTCTTCCTTCATGGGAAACCCACTTGGAGCTTCTTCTCTGATTTATTTATCAGCAATACACTGTTTCAATCCAGAAAATGTTTTGTTCAGTATAGCTTTATTTATAGTGTTCATACAAGTGAACAGAATGTTCTGTGTTGACAGAAACAGGATTGACTGATCAGTCTAGTGTATACATACAATGGAAACATACAAATGTACTAAGTTATTGTAAAATCTTCCTAACTTTTTACTGTTATACTTAGATTTTCATGACTAGTCAGAAGCTTTGTGGGCCAAATTTAGAGAGCTTTGAAGATTTCAATCTACAGATGTAAAAGTGGGATTGTTAAAAGAATTCATATTTGACTTAACTCTGTTCCCATTGAGACCCAGGGTTGTTTTACCCAAAACCAATAGGAGTAAAGGCCAGGGACTCTGTATAAAATGAATGGTGTGAGCCTTCACCTAGAAACTTAATCATTCCTAGACTTTAGAAATGTTAGCATTCAAGGGTCCTGACTACAATCACCTCTTCCTCTTGTAAGCACATACAGTGTTGTCTTAACCAACACTCTACTAAATCAATGCCCTAATCCCAGCAGGAGCCCCACCTAAGTCTCACCTTCAAATTCTTCACAGACTCTACCCCAACTCATTTAAATGTGTCCAAGGAATTTACCTCGGATGCAAAATTGTTCCAGGCTGTCACCAGTTCCTATCTGAGCAGACCAGGTAACATGCTACTAGTTTGGGGCAGGCAATTCT